CCATCGCCGCAGGTAACGCTACGGGCGGAGTAACTATATATACGTGCACGCTCGCAACAAGACTCTCACGGCGTGGATCCCCCCCTCCCCCTCGCTCCCCTCTCCCTCTCTCCCCTCGCTCCCCTCTCCCTCACCTCCACGCTATAGATTCTCGCAGACGATGTTGACATTAAACCACAGGTTCTCAGCGTCGCGTACAGATCTCTCTTTCTCTGCACACACCGCGCAGCGCTCAGCGTGTTGCAGCTACGCGCCAGAGATCGACCCCGCGCGGTAAAGTCAGCTCTCGTGTATAAAGGTGAAACGAAAACACACGCGCACTGAGAGTTCTCGCTGTGAGAGGAAGTTCATTGTGCGCCGAATGCGCGGGGTTGTGTCCCGCCGAATGCTCACTTGTTGCGCATCGAACGAGACACGGGAAAGAGTCGCGACGCTGCCGTCTCTGCCTGGTTACAGCATGTCGTGAGAAAGCAGGCACGGAGCCGTGAGCCTAGCAGACAATGGGAGGCGCGTGTGTTGTCTTTACACTGCCTCTAGTTGATACAGGAGAAGATGAAGCAAGAGACAGCCAGGCCAGCGAAGGAGAGCGGCGAGATAGATAGAGGGAGGGGCAGCGACAGAACGCGCTGTACGGAAGAGGTAAAGGGTAAAGGGGAGAAGACAGGGAAGAGTATCTTTCATCTCTTAATGACGACTTAATTTTGAGAAGAAAAAAAAACGAGAGAAGATCATAGCAGAAAAAGATCGAGTACGAAACCTACGTTCGCGCCGATTTCAGAAAAGAAACCGACCGAGCCGAATCGGCCGCCAGACTAAACAACGAACTTCGCGAAGCAATGTAGTGGCCGCTGCCGCCGCCATGCCGTGTCTCCGCGCACCCAGACGTCGCCGCTAGCTCACCCACGCTGCAGGCACTAACACTGTCAGCACGTCGCTTTTCAATTCGGTTTTTGCTGTATACTACACACACACACACACACATCACACACACGCACACAACCAGCAACACACGCACACACACACACGCACGCAACACACGTGGCACACGACACACGACACGACCACACAGAATGAGTCACCACAGCCGCAACACACCGCACGGCAGCAACACCACACGAGCGCAACACACACACACACACACACCACACAGCACGCGCACACACACACACACAACGCACGCACACACGCACAGGCACACACAAGAGCGACGGCCACACACACACACAGCACACACACACACACACAGCACAGACACCACACACAGGAACGCACACACGCACGCAGCAGCACTAGCTACACACACACACATCATACACAGACACGCACGCACGCACGCACACACACACACGCACGCACGCACGCACGCGATCGCATATGCGCGCGTTGGCGTATGCAGGACGTGCGAGAGAGAGAGAGATCGAGTGTGTTGTACTTCAGGTTTCTACCTTTCCTTCGGCGGTGTTTTCAGCTCCACTGCACTCGAACACTTAGACAAGATACGCATCGAGCATTTCTCACATAACTCAGCTGACTGCGCTGTAGCCGCCGAGTGCAGCGACTCGCGTCCGGGAGAGTGTGTGTGTCAGCCAGCCAGCAGGCAGCTCCTTCAACGCAGCATCCCGGCGACCACTCGGCGAAATTCATTGATCATGAGGCGCTCGTGGTTTTCTCCTCTTCGTGTTTTAACTATTCGTTGTTCTCTCTCTTATCTGTCTAGCTCTCTCTCTCTCTCCTCTCATCTCTCTCTCTCTCTCTCTCTCTCTGCTCTCTCTCTCTCTCTCTCGTTACTCTCTCTGCTCTCTCTCAAGCTCGCTTCTCTCTCTGCTCTCTCTCTCTCACACACACAACACTCTTCTCTACGCTTTTTTTCTTTTGCTGCTCTCTCATCTCTCTCCTCTCTCTCTCACTCTCTCTCTCTCTCACTCTCGTCTCTCTCGCTCTCATTCTCTCTCTCTCTCTCTCTGCTCTGCTCTCTCTCTACCCTCTCTTTTCTCTCTCTCTTTCTTTCTGCGTCGCGGTCTTTCTCTCGCGTAGTTTTTCATTCGCGGCCTCTTGCTGTTTTACATGGGCAGAGTTGGTAAGCGAGAGTGGCATTTATATGCGTGATGTGTTTTTCGGGTGTCTGATTTTGCGGCGGAAGTGTCCGCGGTCTTGCGTAAGCGAGCGAGTAAAACTCCTGCTAATACAGATGATCTCAGTTAGATACAAATTAAAGATTAAAAATAACTAACAAGCTGACACAAAAACAACTTTACTTAATTTGGATGCTAACTAAGACAATCTTAATTAGCATTGTTGAACTATAGAGATTCGATGAATTATTCAATCATCTATTGGGGGATTTCTCACTGGCTACTGGGCGTGTGAGCGGAATCGGGGGACCGGTACCATGGTGGAATAAACCGAGCGGTAGCTGGCAAGCACCGCACGCACGCACGCAGCGGCACGCACTGCACGACGCACCGGAGCGCACGCAGGTGCCCGATGACCACATTGGGCAGCAGCATATCTCTCTCATCGGACGGGAACGCGGCTTGAGCGAGCGCGATTACCCGCGCCCAGCTCAAACAGTTTGACTTTAGCCTCGATTCGCAAGTCGGATAGCGTCACACGTACTTCACCAGTGACACCCCGCACGCACGCACCCCCGCACGCACGCACGCACGCACGCATCACTTCAGCCGGCAGTGCAAGGTTAAATGACTTGCTCTAATCGCGAAATTTTTTTTTTTCGCGAATATCACATGAAACCGTTCTGCGCGAAGCAGCCTTTCGCGCGAATGGAAATATAAACTTGTTTATTAAAACACATTTCCTTATACGATGGATGTGTGGTGCTGTGTAAGAGAAAACGCTCGGCTTGCACTGGCATACCTGTGCAGCACTCACGGCGCTACGGTCCAAACGTAAGTCATGCTTTCGCGACGTCGCTATCACATATACCTGTTTGGCACTCCACCGATAACATTTGCCTATTTACTAGAGTTTGATCGCGGCTTATTATATGCGAACAGCAACGCGTGATAGAGAGAACTCTACCCGCAGGAATGTCAGCGAGTAACGCGGATGCGAAACATCTCTTCACGGTTTTGGTGAATTAAGGGAGCGCTGATAGAAGGTAGTTGACGTAAGTGAGCGAACTGAATTAGAGAGACTATATAGACGCAGGAAAGTAAAGCGGAGAGAGAGTGTAAGAGAGCGAGAGAGAGGTCGAGTGAGAGAGAGAGAGAGAGAGAGCAGAGAGACGAGCGAGTGAGAAGAGAGAGAGAGAGAAATGAGAAGAGAGAGCAGAGTGAGAGAGAGAGAGAGAGAGGGGGGGGGTGAAACTGTGAATAGGCAAATATGTTACGTCAGACAGACATTGCTATCAGGGCGCAAAGCATTACCGGCTAAGCGAGAGAGCGAACAAAGAGTGGGTGGGCCGAGGATGAGATAGATCAAGAGAGGTGTGTGTGGGTGTGTGTGTGGTGGTGTGTGTGTGTGTGTGTGGTGTCGAGTGTGTGTGCGTCGTCGCGTCCGCTGTCAACTGCTGCTACGTGTGACAGAGAGACGCGAGAGTCGGCGCGACAAGCAGGAGCGCGGCGAACGAAGATCCAGACCACACCCGAGAGAGAGTGCGTGTGTGCGGGTTTGTTAGAGAGAGAAATGGACTTACGATGCAGGAATTGAATTACCGAATAAACAACCGGCACTTCAAATGTTACGTACTGCACACTGCGCTACGACCTACTCCTACACACGCTCTTACACCGGTGGCCTACGCACCTCGAGTATACAATTCCGCTACACAGATTGGCATTTGGTCTGCGGGCGCAAAATTGCAGTTACCTGTGCGCATGGCGCCACAGTTACAGTAGATCCGAGCACCAGGGTCTAGATGGACCATGCACCATGAAAGAACACGATGCTGGATATGCAACATGACACGCTCGTATGTTTCGCCCACAGGCAACATAATGTGCTAACGACGGAGCAATATATGTCAACTAATATGTAACCGGGCTGAACCGAGCCACCCTTAGAGCTGACACCACACGTCCCTGTGACTATCCGGAACGGGGGTCGTCGACATGGAGCAACCGACGCATTGAAAGGTCAGTCTAATACGCGCCGACGTAAACTTCACTTACAATGCTGTCGTCCACCGAAGGCAGGATAAAACAGAATCACCATCTGAGAGAGCGGATAAGCCAACCCCC